GGGCGGCCCGAGACCAGGTGAGGCGCGCCCAAGGGCCAGGCCGGGGCTGCTGGGGCAAGGCCGCCGGAAGGGACCCTCGACAGGTGCGAAGGCCGGGGTGGGGCGGCCTGGCCTCTGGGGGCCTGGACAGCCGAGCCCTGGCGGGGCCAAGACCTGGCGGGGCCAAGGCCTGGAGGCAGCGCTAGGCCCGAATGGCGCTCCAATGGCTCTCGGGACCCTCATGGCCTTTCTTGATCCCTGTGGCCCGTGGGCCTCAGGCCTCCGGCTGCACCAGGCCCAAGGAAGGAGAAAGGCCCCACTTGGGGTGACTTCAGAGGAGCTAGAGGTCTCTCCTTATCTTCCCCACCCCACAGTCTGCTGCTCCCTGGACTGGGATTCCACAGTTAGCGATAAGGAGAGCCAGAGCGGCTGAAATTCCTGGGCTGGAAGGGAGGGGAAGAGCACAGGGGGCCCATGGGACCTGCCCTGAGCTGGGGCTGCTTAGCTGGGGAGGGGAGAGTCGACAGGAAGAAATAAAGGATAGAAAGAAGGTTTCTCCTCTGGCCCAGGACTTGGGTCTTCCCTGGGATCTTGGCAGGGACTGGAGAGATGAGTGGGAGGTGCTGCTTGGCTCTGCCTGGGGACATCAAGGCGAGGGTTTGAGGCTAGGAGGGAGCCAGCTGCTCTGCCCAGTTTGGGGGAGTGACATGCCCTGGGAGGGGTGGGACAGTGGAGCCTCAGAGAGTTAAAGAGGTATGGATGCCTGTTCAGGAGCCAGGCTTCCCACAGTCCCGAAGACCCAGACAGCAGGGAACACACAGGTACTGGCAGTGCAGACGCACATGGTGCAGGCATTGCCATGGAAACGGGCTCTTCCTGACCCCTCTGGGCAGCTCAGTTTCCCTCCACCTCTGAGCCTGTTTTCCACAGGGAAATGTGATGGTTTAGCTATAGGGATGGGGTGGTTTCATCGCCCCAGAACTTGGCTCATCATAGACGATCAAACAGTCACTCCTGGGAGATGCTGTCTAGGGACCTCGTGCTCTCCTTGTTCTCTGTTCTTAAAAGAGCACAAAAACAGGCATCAAGGACATTCAGGAAACGTCCTGGGCACTTCCTCGTGGGTTTGGCTGAGTACTATTGACCTTGACGTTGGAAAAGTTCACATGTAATCGGAACCGGTTTCTGCATAAAACTCGTCAAATGGTGTCACATGTCTGGGGCAGGGCTGAGGGCTGGGGTTAGTGACTGAGTCAGACTCCCCGAGGCCCCTGGCTTCCAGGAAAGAAGGCCCCTTCCTCCTGAGACCCAGCTGGATGGTAAAACCAGAGTGAGCTGGGGACATTCGTCCCAGTTCGTAGTGATGCTGAGCCCACACCTGTGGGACCCCCACCCTTGTCACGGGGACTTGTTGTGGCTTTGCTTCCTGGAACTGGCCTCGGTCAACAGCAGTGGAACAAATAGACAACAGCCATGGAGGAAGAAAGGAAGGGCTGTGTGGAAGCCAAGCAGAGTGTGCAAGGCAAGAGATCTGGGCTGGCAGGAGGAAGCTGCAGAGTGGATGGTTCTGTGGCTTTAAGCCTGGCTGGTTGTACGGTGGATAAATTCGAATTGGACCCCTGATGAGCTCAGATCAGCATGCTGGCCTGAAGAACAGCTTGGTTGATGTTCCCCAGCACCCAAATTGGAATATTCTTTTTAAAAGAGTCTTTTTTCATCAAGTATTTGGAGGGGTCAGGACATGGGTAGTAGCAAAGAGGCTCTGCTAGCCTTGGACTTGGGGCCGTATTTTGCCCCAGCAGGGTTTTTAGTTTTAGTTTAGTTTAGTTGTTGGGTTTTTTTTTTTTTTTTTTTTTTTTGCTCCTCCTAAAAAAAAACCCCCGCCCCCCCCCCCCCACACACACACACACAGGTGTTGAGAGACAAGGAGAACCAGATTTCTCTGGCTTCTGGAAAAGCCTTTGGCCAAAGAGGGGAGATTGTGCATGGGTCAGCCCTGGGGAATGGAGTGGGAGGGCAGTTCCTAGTTTTCTAGCAAGGTCTACCTATGTTTGGGGAGGTGACCATAGAGTCTGCTGTCCCTCAGAATGGAGGGACTGCCTGTGGGGTTGAGGAGAGGGCCCAAGAGATAAGGAAGAAAGATGGACCCTTGAGGATTTTGTCAGCCACGTCTGGCTCCAGCCCAGCTGAGCCCTGACTATCCCCTACGCACTTTGGCTTCAGCATTTTGTGGGTCTGCCTTTATACACATCTGTCATGGCATCATTGGACCCTTAGAGATTGGGCTGCCCCTGGGAGCTGGGCTAGTGGCTAGGGCATCAGAAACTTTGGTCCAGATTCCTAAATCTATCTCCTCACACATAACTCATCTCCCTTTGCCTCGTGGCCTCGGAGGGGCTTCCAGTCTAACGTCAGCTCAAGGTTATTTCCAAGGCCCACTAGGATCAGAGCTCCAACACGTAGCCAGTCCCACCACAGCTTGACCCTCCTAGGTCAGCCGGCTTCTCGGACTTCACCCCAGTAGGAAGGTGGACTGTGGGGGCGCTAGATTAGGATAAGGTACTGCAGCTGGGTGCAAGCAGTTATGACTTACTAGTGTTTACGGGACTTTAGTTATTTTTTAAAAAGAGTTATTTTTAAAATTTTACTTATTCATTCATTTATTTTAATTTGATGAGAGAGAGAAAGTGAGGAAGCAAGCCACCAGGTCCAGGACTCGAACTGTGGTCGACCACGTGGAAGTGTCCAGCGCCTTAACTTCCGTGCCTCCTGCTGGTCTCCAATGGGACATTTAGCTCTAGAAGTCCCTGCCCCCTCATTTGTTGGAGGTCCTCATCCAAGGTGCTCAGGGGGAGCCCCCTCTGAGCAGAGGTTTGAAACGACCTCTGCTGTTGTGCATGAATTAAGAGGTTATCTCCAGCTCATAGAGAAACCGAGGCATCAGGAGGGCAGGACTTTCCAAGGGCCTCTTATGTCCCAGAATAGATGAAAGCCAGCTTCCGTGGTTCATTCTAGTTTCTCTCTAGGCCTCCTGTGCTCCTTTATAAGGAGACCTTTCCTTCCTGGGCCCCGAATTTCTATTCTGTAAAATGGAGGTGGCATGACCAGGTCCTTAAAGCCTTTCTGCCTCAGTATGTGATCCCTTGCTGTCTGAGCCCCTCGTGGGCAGTAAACAGGGGAAGTCCCTGCCTGGGTAGAGTCCTGAGGCTAGCAGGCGCAGGCAGGTCTTCCACCATAGACATGGTGCCTCTATCGGCCCAGGATTCTTGCTGACCTGACTAGCTACATAGGGTGAACCCCAGAAAAAGTGGGGCAAGGGGGATAGGGAGCAGAAACCACAAACGGCCCCAGAGAGAGACAGAGAGCTGGGGCCAGGGCCACGATCCCAGGTCAGTCCCTGCTCAGTGCAGGTGGAAACTGTCACTTTCCTCTCTGATCAGAAAGCTCTAATTCCTTTCCTCCCCAGGGAAGACATCCAGACCCAAAGAAGGAGACATCTTTCAATTCCAAGGCATGGGACAAAGGAAGTGGAGGTGCAGGAAAGGCTGGAGGAGTTGGCCAGTGCCTCTGAGCCATAGGAGGCTCTGCCCACGCAGTCTCCAGAGTATTTTTAAAGCTTTGAGCAAAGGCAGCTGCACTCCTGCTTCATTCTTTCCATCTTATCTGAAGGAGCCGTTCTCTCGGCAGGCAGGACCCTTCCTGTTGAAGAATGCATTTCTCTGCCTTCCCTTCTCTCCGTCCTCCTGCTCGTCCTCCCTTCACCCCCCCAGCCTTTTCTCCTCTTCCTCCTCTTCTTCAACCTGTTGTGACCTGTTTTGACAAAAGAGAAGTGTCAGAGGCCGGAAATGGGCATGTCCGTGTCAGTAAGGGATGTCTGGCTGCGTGGAACCCGAACACTGGGAACAAGGGAGAACCATGGTTGTAGTGGGGGTGTGAGTGGATCAGGATGGCCTTCAGAGCCCAAGCAAGGAGCTGAGACACATTGCCATATACAGTGGGGGGACTGCATGTTGAGAGAAGGTGGTGTGATAAGAGCAGTTGGGGAGAAAGGCCAGGTGGCCATCAAATATGGAGCCCTAAAGGTCTAATCAGAGTGGAGCAGCAGTCATGGAGAGGGGGGAGAGTCCTGAGGCTAGCAGGCGCAGGCAGGTCTTCCACCATAGACATGGTGCCTCTATCGGCCCAGGATTCTTGCTGACCTGACTAGCTACATAGGGTGAACCCCAGAAAAAGTGGGGCAAGGGGGATAGGGAGCAGAAACCACAAACGGCCCCAGAGAGAGACAGAGAGCTGGGGCCAGGGCCACGATCCCAGGTCAGTCCCTGCTCAGTGCAGGTGGAAACTGTCACTTTCCTCTCTGATCAGAAAGCTCTAATTCCTTTCCTCCCCAGGGAAGACATCCAGACCCAAAGAAGGAGACATCTTTCAATTCCAAGGCATGGGACAAAGGAAGTGGAGGTGCAGGAAAGGCTGGAGGAGTTGGCCAGTGCCTCTGAGCCATAGGAGGCTCTGCCCACGCAGTCTCCAGAGTATTTTTAAAGCTTTGAGCAAAGGCAGCTGCACTCCTGCTTCATTCTTTCCATCTTATCTGAAGGAGCCGTTCTCTCGGCAGGCAGGACCCTTCCTGTTGAAGAATGCATTTCTCTGCCTTCCCTTCTCTCCGTCCTCCTGCTCGTCCTCCCTTCACCCCCCCAGCCTTTTCTCCTCTTCCTCCTCTTCTTCAACCTGTTGTGACCTGTTTTGACAAAAGAGAAGTGTCAGAGGCCGGAAATGGGCATGTCCGTGTCAGTAAGGGATGTCTGGCTGCGTGGAACCCGAACACTGGGAACAAGGGAGAACCATGGTTGTAGTGGGGGTGTGAGTGGATCAGGATGGCCTTCAGAGCCCAAGCAAGGAGCTGAGACACATTGCCATATACAGTGGGGGGACTGCATGTTGAGAGAAGGTGGTGTGATAAGAGCAGTTGGGGAGAAAGGCCAGGTGGCCATCAAATATGGAGCCCTAAAGGTCTAATCAGAGTGGAGCAGCAGTCATGGAGAGGGAGGGAGAAAGAAGGGCCAAGCATTGTTGACTGCCTGGATTTGGAGACTGAAGGAAAGGGAGGGGTCAAGGATGGCTTTTTTTTTTTTTTTTTCTTCTTTTTCTCCATAGGGTCGACGTACTCTCCAGAGAAAGAGAGACAGACAGACAGACAGAGACAGTGAGAAGGAGCATGAGAAGTCATACCCCAGGAGGATGGCCACAGTGTGGTCCCTTCCCCTCTATTCTCCTCCCAAGATCTTGGGTACACACGAACATGCACCCAGCATGATTTTCAAGCCACCGGATCTGGGACTTGAACGGCAGTCAGCCATGTGGGAGTCCAGTGATGTAACCACTGTGTTATCTGCTGGCCCCATCCGAGATAGCCAGTTTTGAGCTTAGGAGTCTGAGAGAATACTGGTGGTATCCATGAGCCCAGGACCACCTGAGGGGAAGCCAGGTTTGAGAGAAAAGGGTGAGTGGTTTCATGGTTTTGAAGAAATGGGATCTTAGTAGAGCTTGCTCACGGTTAGAGATACAGACGGGGCTGCCGAGAAGGAAGAGATTCTTTTGGGTAGGGACGGATGAAGGGAGTGAGTGTGGATGGGGTGGCCACTGAGATCTGCCAAAGAGTTGAGATCTAGGGGCCTACTGGAGATGTTTATGTTAGGAAAGATGTAGGGAGAGGTTGGCTCATACCAGTGGCTGGGACTCCACTAAGGGGCAGTCTGGAAGGTGTCCATTTCCAGCTGCCCCAGACAGGAGGGGTGGTCAAGGTCCATAGGCTGAGAGGGCCTGGTGACGGGCGGACGGGCCCGGGG